TGCCATAAAAGACAACAAAGAATGTTTTTTCAAATGCATCAGCAACAAAAGGAGGGCCAAGGAGAATCTCCATCCTTTGTTGGATGTGGGGTCAAAGATAGTGACAAAAAATAGAGTGATGAGGAAAAAGCTGAGGTACTTAATGCCTTCTTTGCCTCAGTCTTTAATAACAAGATGTCATCAAGGTAATCAGCCCCTTGAGCTGGAAAACAGAAATGGGGAGCAGAATGAAGTCCCCATAATCCAGGATGAAATGGTTAGAGACCTGCTATGCCACTTAGACCCACACAAGTCCATGGTGCCAGATGGGATCCACCCAAGAGTACTGAAGGAGCTGGTAGAAGAGCTCACCAAGCCACTTTTAATCACTTTACCAGCAGTCCTGTTCAACCAGGGAGATCTCAGGTGACTGGAACTTGGCAAATGTGGCACCCACCTACAAGAAAGGTCGGAAGGAGTGATGCCTTATAAATTTTAAGATTTGTAGCAAATATAGATTTTTAGTATGGCTGTAAAGTTTCTCACACTTTAAATTGCAGTTGACAGTTACCAAACCCAGTTCTCATGCTTCATATCAAATTTTCTAAATTCTTCGGGTTTGTTTAATGTTCTTCTCAAAAGAAAAGTCTCTAGCAAACACATTTTGTTTAGGACATATGCACCTGGACTAGAATAATAAGATGCCATTATAGCCAAAGCAACCTTGAAGGCCCAGGAACCTTTGAGGAGCTCAAAAGATAAATGTGTGCTGTGAGGAGGAATCATAGAATCATAGAATCATAGAATTAACTGGGTTGGAAGACACCTCCAAGATCATCAAGTCCAACCCTTGATCCAACCCCACTGTGATTACTAGATCATGGCACTCAGTGCCACATCCAGCCTCTTCTTAAAAACCTCCAGGGACGGTGAATCCACCACCTCCCTGGGCAGGCCATTCCAACGCCTGATCACTCTCTCTGTAAAGAATTTCTTTCTAATATCCAACCTAAACCTCCCCTGACAGAGCTTAAGCCTGTGCCCTCTTGTGCTATTGCTGATTGCCTGGGAGAAGAAACCGACCCCCACCTGGCTACAATCTCCTTTCAGGTAGTTGTAGAGAGTGATGAGGTCACCCCTGAGCCTCCTCTTTTCCAGACTAAACAACCCTAGTTCCCTCAGCTTTTCTTCATAGGACTTGTGCTCAAGTCCCTTCACCAGTCTGGTTGCTCTTCTCTGGACCTGCTCCAGCACCTCAATGTCCTTCCTGAACTGAGGGGCCCAGAACTGAATACTCAAGGTGTGGTCTCACCAGCACTAAGTACAGGGGAAGGATCACTTCCTGCTCCTGCTGGCCACACTGTTCTTGATGCAGGTCAGGATGCCATTGGCCTTCTTGGCCACCTGGGCACACTGCTGACTCATGTTCAGCTTCCTGTCAATCAGCACCCCCAGATCCCTTTCCACCTGGCTGCTCTCCATCCACTCTGTCCCCAGCCTGTAGTGCTGCAGGGGGTTGTTGTGGCCAAAGTGCAGGACATGGCACTTGGCCTTGTTGAACTTCATCCCGTTGGAATCAGCCCATCTCTCCAGCCTATCCAGGTCCCTCTGCAGAGCCCTCCTGCCTTCCGGCAGGTCGACACTCCCTCCCAACTTGGTGTCGTCTGCAAATTTGCTAATGATGGACTCAATCCCCTCATCTAAATCATAGATTAAGATGTTAAACAGGACTGGGCCCAGCACTGATCCCTGGAGGACACCACTGGTGACCGGCTGCCTGTGGAATATTTGCAGGAAAATGGACACTTGGTGAACAACCCATATTACCAGCTGTGAAAGAAGCCTCAGGCTTCCCATGGGAAGAAAACTTGGTTTGTAGTTGACAGCTGTGGACTTAGGCTAGCTTCCCATGAGAATGGAATTAGTTTATAATCAACAGCTATTTCATGTTATGAGAAGTTACGGTGGGAGCTGCAATCCAGGTGCAAAATATCGACCCTACACCTTATCCAATGAGCATAAGACACTAACTCGTGGACAGGCTGAGCTATCCAGTCCCCAGACTTTAATCCTGCACCCACGATGGTACGAAGATGTATAAAATGTGCACTGTGTGTTTAATACATTGCTTAATCATATTGGTTGTTCGTGATGTATTCGTGCTCCTGCCGTCATTAGCCGCCAACTGGATGCAGCCCCGTTCACCACCACTCTCTGGGCCTGGCCCTCCACATAGTGCCCCTGTCCAAGTCGTGGGCTGCCAGCTTTTTCAGGAGTATATTATGGGAGACAGTGTCAAAGGCTTTGCTGAAGTCCAGATAGAAGATGAGGAAGGAATATCTTCCAGATAGGAAGATGAGGAAGAAAGGGGTCTCAAGACCTCCAACTCAATTACAGGGAGGAGTGCCAGGGGGGCAGATCTGGGGAGGATCTGGGGGCAGATAGTTCTTGGATTGGATGGATTAGTACTACAAAATTGTAAAATCCCTGGACATATGTGTGTGTCTAGGTACTGTGTGCACCTGAAGGCCTTCATTAAAGAACTGCTCTCTA